AAGGATTTGTAACATTTGTTAAACATATTTTTTTATTTAATATTTACTTCCTGAGGTTACAAAAGGGAAGTATAATGAAATGAAATAGCTAACTTGAGACTTTTTTTCTAGTTAAATTGTTTGGTGATCCTTTTGGAAGTTTTTATTTCACAATGAAATCCAATAATCACAGTAGATTAAAAGATCATTAATGGTCAGACATTTTTATATACCAGTTAGACTCTAGAATTGCAAAGATTCTGGCTTCATCCCTCAAACCACTCCTACCCTCTTGGATCCACCCGAACCAAAGTTGGCTTTGGTCAAGGGAGAGAAACACACAATAAGTCTCTACGATCAATCCTAATTACGCACTATGCTCAAATACACAAAATACCCCCTACTCCTTATCCACTGACGCAGAGAAGGCATTAGACCGTGTTGATAGTTTTATTTTTAAGTTCATGACTTTGCAACACATGGGCCTGGGACCCAACAAGCTCTTGAGGAGTATGGCCTTATATGAGCACCCTACATCTAAAATTAGAAATAATAGGATTACGTCACCTCCCATTGATCTCTGTAATAAAGTGTCTGTGCCAACCCCCCCGACCGCTTTATACTCAATTTTCCAGTGTTCTCCACTGTTTTTTACGCTGTCCCAGCCACCAAAATACCAGCATCAACTGGTGTCTGAGCTCTGAGGAAGCAGCAACTTTACTGCCTTCATCATGTGACTGTGCTCAGTCCTAGCGCTTTGGTGTTTGAGCTCAGAGGGAGCAGTAACTTAACTGCTTTCATCATGTGACTTTGCTCAGTCCTAGTGCTTTGGTGTCTGAGCTCAGAGGGAGATGTAACTTAAATGCCTTCATCATGTGACTGTGCTCAGTCTTAGCGCTTTTATCACATACCTTGGTATGAGCCTGAAGTGACGAGGAAGGCCTTCCCTTGCTGCTCTCGTCTGAGCCCCACTGGAGATGGAACAGTAGTTATACAGACAAAGAGGGGCACGAGTGCCTGTGGCTGGTATGACTGCTGGACACACTGGATGTGCTGATGCTGACCACACGACGCCAGAGACCACTGGTGGGAGATGGCAGATCAGACGACACTTGTGTGCGAGGCTGAGGCGTAGTCAGGGAATAGCCAGATCGGTAACGTGCGGTCAGCGGGGTACAAAAGCAGGTGACAGAAGCAGAGTCAGGAACAGGCTGGTTCATACACTAACGAGCAGAATGGTACCAGATCAGGAGGCAGAAGAATGGTCAGGGACAAGCCGAGGTCACAAGGCAGGCAGCAAGCAGGCAGAGTCAAGAATCAAGCCGGGTCAAACAGGTATCAGGAGCAGAAACACAGATGCAGGGTACAGCTGAAGATCTCTCAGCAAAGTGTAGATGCAGGAGCCATCTTTAAATAGCCCACCTGGCGCCAAGGGAATGCGTGTGCACGTTACTTGCGGGTGCACGTTTTTGCGCGTGTACGTGCACGTTTCACGCATGCGCAGTACTAGCGGCAACGCTCCAATTATGCGCATAGCGTGCAGCGGTCCGGGCAGAAGCTGCACTATGGATGCTGACTGATGCACCCTGACAGCTTTGGTGTTTGAGCTCAGAGGGAGCAGTAACGTAACTGCCGTCATCATGTGACTGTGCTCAGTCCTAGCGCTTTGGTGTCTGAGCTCAGAGGGAGCATTAACTTAACTGTGACTGTGCTCAGTCCTAGCGGATTGTACTGGGTATTGTGCAGTGCAGCTATAGAGGGATTGGCAGGGGGAACGCTGGATAGGGGAACAAAGTGGTCAAAGTAGCCTTTACACTGTTATTTTGCCCTGAATGAGCTAGGTGGCAGTGTCTTTTTAAATATATTTTTACATACAACTAGCATAGGAACCTGAATATGTGTTGATATCATCCTCCTGTTATCATGTTCAAAACAATACTCAGAGTAAGAGAAGGAAGGAAAGCCCTAGGAGATAATCAGGCTTTGTATACAAGTGTACTGACAGGTAACATACTGACAGGAGAGAGCAGAGTGAGAATAATGAATGACTTCTCAGTGTGCTTCTGCTCCCTTATTGTCCAATCTTCAAGCTGTGGACAGGGAGGTGACACCACTGTAACAGAGAAATTGGTGTCACTCACTATGCTGTTTGGTAGAGGCGTATACATTTGAACAGTGGCTGAACTACAAATCCTCTTGCAGATATGACAGTTCATGTGTGTATTTCAAATATCTGTTTGTCTGCAGTTCCGCTTTAATTGTTCCTACCTGGAGTATCTCAGCTCAGGCCAAGCATGCATCTGTCTTAATTTGTTGCCAATAACCAATTATTTTTTTCTATAAAAATATTTTAGTAAATAAATATATAAAAATGTATTTTTGCAACAGTGGTCAAAATCTGTGTCTGGTGGACCATGTGTGATACTCAGCTTTTTAATCCCAGCAGCCTCTCTGCTGTGGCTGAGCATTAAAATGTGTCGCATTTGAAGCCACCCGTCTGATGGAGTCAATTAAAGCCGCTCTAATGTATAAAATGTTTAACAACATTGTTTTTTTTACAGTGTGGCTCACAAGCAAAAATGGTATAAGGTTTTAAAATATATTGTATTGCAATTTCATTGTTCAGTTATACATTGTTCTCTTAGTACATTTTTTTTTACAATAAAGGCAAATGTTTTTAAGACTGTTAGTCATTAACCTAATCTCTGTAGTTTATAACTTCAAGAGTAACTATGGTCAAAAGCTAAAATAATAAATATATATTTCTTTACTGAATTTCCAAAAGTTCTCTCCCACTCCTAGTAATCATATCCATCTTTTGAAGATGGTTACAGGATGTACTTCCTCAATACAATGACACAATTTCACGCAGCCCTGTGAATGATCCATTTCCTTGTGTCAACACTCTAACTAAGCCTGTCATCGCAACTACAACTCAATGTATGAACTTGCTACAATGTAACATCATTGCTTGCTTGAAGCAATGCATGATAGGATATGTATACTAGTTTTGAAAAATCTAATTTGCTGAAGAGATTCTTTAGAGCAGCGGTTCTCAGCCTGTGGGTCGCGACCCCATCCGGGGTCGAATGACGATTTGCCAGTGGTCGCCCGGGAGTCTCCCGCTATTAGATAGCGGCTCCCGGCCGCCCGGGAGAGAAACACTTTCTCCCAGAAAGGTTTACTCTGCTGCCGTAAGTCAGAAAAAAAAAACCACCATAGGAATGCATAGCTAGATTGCTATTGGCTATTTCACTTTGCAATAGCCAATAGGAATCTAGCTATTGCACCCGCCCTCTGCTGCTTCCAATCAGCAGAGGGGGACCTGAGGTTCTCCATCAGGTCCTCTTCTAGTGATTGACAGCAGAAGAGGGTGGTTGCAATAGTTAGTTTGCTATTGGCTATTTCACTTTGCAATAGCCAATAGGAATCAAGCAGTGCATTCCTATGGTCTTTTTTTTTTTATTCTGACGGCGTACGTGGTTACGGAAAGAAGATTCAAATTTGTCAGGTCCTCTTCTAGTGATTGACAGCAGAAGAGGGTGGTTGCAATAGTTAGTTTGCTATTGGCTATTTCACTTTGCAATAGCCAATAGGAATCAAGCAGTGCATTCCTATGGTCTTTTTTTTTTTATTCTGACGGCGTACGTGTTTACGGAAAGAAGATTCAAATTTGTAAGGGAACAAGGGATGCCAGATATCGCCAATCTAGCTGTGCATTTAGTAAGCATAAGATCTGCAGCAATAATAGCACAAACACATCCTTGGAATGCTGGGATTCATATAAATTCCTTACTACATCTTCCCAGAAAGAGTAGATTGACTCATATGGCAACAACTAATTATTCTGGTTTCAGGGCTTGCTGGGGAATATCACTGAATAATAAGGCTAATCTCAACAAATAGAAAAACATGTTGTACAGCAGTGGTTCTCAACCTGTGGGCCGCTGCGTGATTTCTGCTCCTCAGCCCTCTCCTAGCGCAGCAGTGTCACTTCTCCCGCCACGCCGCCAGATGTAGCTTCAGCAGCCGCGTCATCCCTAAATTTTACCGTTGGGGGTCACCACAACTTGGCAAATGTTACCAAGGGGTCCCGGCCATAGAAAGGTTGAGAACCACTGCTTTAGAGTAAGCTTTGATTGCTTTATCAAAAACATGAATACGTATACCTATTACAATGTTG